GTTTAAAGCAGGAATCTGAAAATGTAATTAGGTCATTTTGACTTAATCCTCATTTCCATATGATGGGTCACATATAAAGTTTTCATACTCTCAAGAGTGGGCAGAAGTACACTTATTTTATCCCACCTCTTCTCCTGTAACCTTATTCCATCACTTCTTAATGATCAAGAAAYTTATTCTTAGTTTCTTAAAAAACTAATGTATCCAYCAACACTTACTCTTGCAATTCCTTTATAGTTRAAACCCTTTGAAACTTGAMACAGTTTTGTTTCCAGATTAAACTCCAYTTTACAAGTTTGGCCTTAATGTTRATAATTTTACCAACGCACCAAGTTAGAATTAGTTTCTACTATTTTCAGAATTAGTTCCTTTGAGAATGTCTTCTTTATTYAAGTAAATCTGTTACTGCATGATATCCTTAACTAATTTCAAAACCAATCAAACTGAATCGTGAGTCAAATGGATTTGGTAAACCCAGCCCTAATCCTGGCAGATAAATCTTAAAGGAACACTGTGCTGTAATAACATATGAAACTGACACGACTGAAGCCACTTTGTTTCTCTCCTCTACTCTAATGTTGCGTCAAACTTAAATGTAAACAAACTAAAACATGACAGTAATCCTCACCAAACTATTTCTGAATTAATCTGTATTAAGAAATTAAGCGCCAGGACCTGCAGTGTGACAGCAGCCTAAAGGCCTCCACATACTTTAACTGAACAGCCTCCTATTGAAGCAGCTGCCTGACAAACATCACTTCCACCCGTTATTAATCAGAAGTTTGTGAGCGTGTTTATGTTAAACGCACTCAGGCGCTGCATTTTTTTTTTGCTTTAACTACCTTCTTCTAAAATAGTTGTACCCAGAAGCAGACATTTGTAAAAAAAAAAAAAAAAAAAAAAAAAAGTCAAATGGAGATAAAACAGGCATCATGCACAGAGGGATCTGTCTGAAAAACCAAAACATCAAAACGCTTTAACCGTTAAAACATTTGTGGATAAAATAATGGTGAGTTTAGAAGGTTTTATGCATCTTCTATAATCAAAAAGGCTTGTTTTGACTTCATGTGACGGTACCAGTGTTTCCCAAAGTTGAGGTCGGGACCCAAAGTGGGGTCCTGAAACATCAAGGTGGGGTCCTGAAAAGATTTTCTGAATTAATTACATTTTGCCTTAGTTGTTACAAAGGAGTGAGGTTAGTATATTTAAAATGGATAAATGTAGTATAATAAAATTTAGTGTTTGTAAACTGAAATTGTGACAAAACCACATAAATATTGAATAGATTTAAATGTGAAGTGAATGGACCACACTACACCAGTA